AAACTTGAGAATCTTGCACGCTAAATAAAACTTGAGAATCTTGCACTCTAAATAAAACCTGAGAATCTTGCACGCTAAACAAAACCTGAGAATCTTGCACGCTAAACAAAACCTGAGAATCTTGCACGCTAAACAAAACATGAGGATCTTGCACGCTAGACAAAACTTGAGAATCTTGCACGCTAGACAAAACTTAAGAATTTTGAACGCTAAATAAAACTTGAGAATCTTGCACTCTAAAAAAACTTGAGAATCTTGCACTCTAAACAAAACTTGAGAATCTTGCACGTTAAACAAATTTTGAGAATCTTGCACGCTAAACAAAACTTGAGAATCTTGCACGCTAAAAAAACTTGAGAATCTTGCACGCCAGACAAAACTTGAGAATATTGCACGCTAAATAAAACTTGAGAATCTTGCACTCTAAACAAAACTTAAGAATCTTGCACTCTAAACAAAACTTGAGAATCTTGCACGTCAGACAAAACTTGAGAATCTTGCACGCTAAATAAAACCTGAGATTCTTGCACTCTAAACAAAACTTGAGAATCTTGCACGCTAAACAAAACTTGAGAATCTTGCACGCTAAACAAAACTTGAGAATCTTGCACGCTAAACAAAACTTGAGAATCTTGCACGCTAAANCCTGCGTTACTAGCGTACACTGTACAGCGCCTGCGTTACTAGCGTACACTGTACAGCGCCTGCGTTACTAGCGTACACTGTACAGCGCCTGCGTTACTAGCGTACACTGTACAGCGCCTGCGTTACTAGCGTACACTGTACAGCGCCTGCGTTACTAGCGTACACTGTACAGCGCCTGCGTTACTAGCGTACACTGTACAGCGCCTGCGTTACTAGCGTACACTGTACAGCGCCTGCGTTACTAGCGTACACTGTACAGCGCCTGCGTTACTAGCGTACACTGTACAGCGCCTGCGTTACTAGCGTACACTGTACAGCGCCTGCGTTACTAGCGTACACTGTACAGCGCCTGCGTTACTAGCGTACACTGTACAGCGCCTGCGTTACTAGCGTACACTGTACAGCGCCTGCGTTACTAGCGTACACTGTACAGCGCCTGCGTTACTAGCGTACACTGTACAGCGCCTGCGTTACTAGCGTACACTGTACAGCGCCTGCGTTACTAGCGTACACTGTACAGCGCCTGCGTTACTAGCGTACACTGTACAGCGCCTGCGTTACTAGCGTACACTGTACAGCGCCTGCGTTACTAGCGTACACTGTACAGCGCCTGCGTTACTAGCGTACACTGTACAGCGCCTGCGTTACTAGCGTACACTGTACAGCGCCTGCGTTACTAGCGTACACTGTACAGCGCCTGCGTTACTAGCGTACACTGTACAGCGCCTGCGTTACTAGCGTACACTGTACAGCGCCTGCGTTACTAGCGTACACTGTACAGCGCCTGCGTTACTAGCGTACACTGTACAGCGCCTGCGTTACTAGCGTACACTGTACAGCGCCTGCGTTACTAGCGTACACTGTACAGCGCCTGCGTTACTAGCGTACACTGTACAGCGCCTGCGTTACTAGCGTACACTGTACAGCGCCTGCGTTACTAGCGTACACTGTACAGCGCCTGCGTTACTAGCGTACACTGTACAGCGCCTGCGTTACTAGCGTACACTGTACAGCGCCTGCGTTACTAGCGTACACTGTACAGCGCCTGCGTTACTAGCGTACACTGTACAGCGCCTGCGTTACTAGCGTACACTGTACAGCGCCTGCGTTACTAGCGTACACTGTACAGCGCCTGCGTTACTAGCGTACACTGTACAGCGCCTGCGTTACTAGCGTACACTGTACAGCGCCTGCGTTACTAGCGTACACTGTACAGCGCCTGCGTTACTAGCGTACACTGTACAGCGCCTGCGTTACTAGCGTACACTGTACAGCGCCTGCGTTACTAGCGTACACTGTACAGCGCCTGTGTACAATGCACGACATTTTATATACAGAATGTAAACATAAGAATTAAATAAAATTAAGTACACAATATTCAGGCGGTTTGTATAAATGACGAGTTACAGCGTACGTCTGAGATATGGTACATATATCACACTGCCTACACTTTAATGAAGCTTATTTTGATTACCAATAAACATACCGCTTACGTACGAATAACGTACGAATAACGTACGAATAAAGTACGAATAACGTACGAATAACGTACGAATAACGTACCAATAACGTACGAATAACACTGCATACGTACGAATAACGTACGAATAACACTGCATACGTACGAATAACGTACGAATAACACTGCATACGTACGAAACATCACACTCATGCCCTCATCATACTCATGCCCTCATCACACTCATGCCCTCATCACACTCATGCCCCCTCACACTCATGTCCCCTCACACTCATACCCCCTCCCACTCATGCCCCCTCATACTCATGCCCCTCACACTCATGCCCTCCATACCCCCAGCAGGAGAGACTATCGTGCCCTGGGTCGGGTGTACCCCATGACCTCGCGCCACAGTTTATCCCGCTCTTCGTCGTCCCCGGTACGGGCCACGCGGCGGTCCACGTGCTCGTCTGACGCCGTGACCAGGTCGGAGGTGAGCCCGACCATCGCGAGCGTCTCGATGATCTTGGTGGTCAAGTTGAAGCCCCAACCGTCCATCTCGCTGGCCCTGTAGTCCCTGGGGAAGGCGTGGTGGTAGTTGTGCCATCCCTCACCGAGGGCCAAAGGTCCTAGAATCTGGTTCTCGTGGGCGTAGAGGTTCTTGTCGTAGGGCCTGTAGCCGTAGAGGTGGGCCACGGAGTTGATGCACCAGGTCACGTGGAAGGTGATGGCCAGTCGTACCAACCCGCACGTGAGGAATGAGTAGACGAGGTCTTCCCCCCACAGGTAATTGGGGATGATGGTGGGTAGTATGAAGGCGAGGGGGAGGGAGATCCAGTAGTAGTACTCATTCTGGATACGAACCACCGGGTCATCCAATAGGTCGCTGCAGTCGATCATCTTCCTGGCCTTGATCACTTCGGGGTGAGTTTGGTACATCTTCCAGCCCATGTGGGCGAAGAAGAACCCTCTGCGGGAGTTGGTAAAGTCCCTGTCTGTGTCGGACCACTTGTGGTGAACCCTGTGGTTCTGGCTCCAGAGGTAGATGCTCTCCTGGAAGGCGACGCTGTTCAGACACATAAGCACAATGCGTACCGGCAACGACGCCTTGAAGGATCGATGTGTCCATAACCTGTGTACCCCCATTGTCACCCCGAGGCCAGCAAAGATGGACATAAGGGCGATGTAAACGTAGCTCCACACCCTCACCTGGCCCGTAATAATCAGGTAGACACCGTACAGAACTAGAACGTGGAAGACTACCAGCACCAGGACCATGTCCCACAGCACTTTGGACCAATCTAAGTTCAGGGTATCGATGTACATTTGTTTGAAGGAGAACTTGTAATCGTAGTCGTCATGGTGATGGTGGTGGTGGCCATCATCGTGGTCGTTGAGGCTAGTGTATTTGCTCTCGGACTCTAAGGATGCCGGATTTGAATTTTGGGGTACATGCTGGATGAGGGGACAAGATTTTTCTTGGTTGGTCGTGCCATTTAAGGTTTTTCGTACATCAGCTACGCTAGTTTGCTGGCTACTGATGTGGTCCGTGGTTTTATCCAGAGACTCCAGCGGTCCTTTATCCGCTCTGTCCTCGGCCTTCTGGCCGCTCGTGTTGGTGGGGCAAGGCGGCATTTTAGTGTCAGTTGACAACCGCTAGTGACACTCCACCATACTTCAGTTTAGGATACGCAAGATCTATTATCGACTATACTTAAAAGTTTAAAACATCTCTGGAATGCCTGGAGAAGGAGAAATAAGGTTAAAATACAACTATAATTCGCCAGTTATTTAAGGACGAAACTAAGGGTACGGATAGGCCAGGCTGTACAGCCGGCCAGTACCCCTTGGACAACGAATTACCAATAAGCGAACGGCAACAGAATTGCCAATGAAGCCACACGGCAGCCCTAGCATAATAATCAATATCGGAAACATAATTAAAAATACCATTTGATTGTTTAAATCGCATTTTTATCAAGAATTTAAAAACAAAGAAAACAGCAACAAAATCACCCTTTCTTATGGAAGAAAACAGCCGAAAATTCGCCATTTCTTATGAAGGAAAATGTTTCGAAGCCCAGCTTCGTCATTAGTTCAAAACCAGTTTGTTTTCATCCGACGATTTATGTTTCAAGATCTTCAATGTGAATTTTAGTTTGCTAAAACATAACAATTTGTTATAGCCAAAATTCGAGTAGAATTAACCCCAACCTGATTGTTCATGGCCTAGTGAGGTGAAACATTTTTTGAATGAATAATAATTCTGAAGAATTTAGCTGAAGGAAGTTTGAGGGCTGGGAAGTTGGATGGAAATAATATACGTTTAAAAATTACTTTTTGAAGACAACACTTCTAAAGAATCCAGTGTCTCCGATGTTACACATGTACAATGAACTTCTAAATTTATTGTCAAATATAAAAAAGAAGTTTTAAACTTTATTTCTAAAATTAAAAAAAATATAAATTCTTCAAAATTATTTATTCTGTCAATTGATTCACGCATTGCCTCCGACTTTACGCAAGTATGCAAAATTTCAGATCGATTGTAGAGGTAGAAGTGTGTTAAATATTGATTATAAGATTTGTTGCAGACAGACAAGAAGTGAAGTTAAAGAGAAGTGTTGTAATAATAAAATAGAAAGATTAGTAAAAAGGTTTGATGCATTAGAAACTAAATATTTAACTCAACATGACTAAAATTTACCAGTAGTGTTCGTAGAGGTTACAGTATTTTAGCAATCAATATTATGATTAGATTTTAATTCTGAATATTTTGAAATGTTCAGTTGAACTTACGTTAGAAATTTTAGTTTTAACTTGCGGCAACTTAAAAAATGAAATTAATAGTGAAACCAAAAATGCAAAGGCGTTTAATATAAAGAACAGAGAAAGAGCGTTGTAGTGAGAGGTTAGAAGCAGGGTAATGGCTATAGGTGCTTAGTCTCAAAGGCTTAGTCTCAAAGGCTTAGTCTCAAAGGCTTAGTCTCAAAGGCTTAGTCTCAAAAGCTTAGTCTCAAAGGCTTAGTCTCAAAAGCTTAGTCTCAAAGGCTCAGTCTCAAAGGCTTAGTCTCAAAGGCTCAGTCTCAAAGGCTTAGTCTCAAAGGCTTAGTCTCAAAGTCTTAGTCTCAAAGGCTTAGTCTCAAAGGCTGTAGCACAATTTACACTATTGAATTCTCCATCTTAATTAATTCGTAAAGGTTAACGTTCGGTCCGGGTTTTACCAACCGGAATTAGCAATAAATAAATAAATATAGAAATAATTTATTACGTATAACGTAGACGGAGCTAAAGAGACACTTGCAGGTCTCTGGACACTGCACGAGACACTTGCAGGTCTCTGGACACTGCACGAGACACTTGCAGGTCTCTGGACACTGCACGAGACACTTGCAGGTCTCTGGACACTGCACGAGACACTTGCAGGTCTCTGGACACTGCGAGAGACACTATCGTACACTGCACGAGACAATGACTGCTATATGTCATATATGCGCAGGTCGCGTACGTATATAATCATGTATTACAGGCCGTACGTATTAGTTTTATACGTGGACTGTATGTTTATTTTCCACGTGATGTGTACTTCAATAACGTACGTGCTTTTAATGTTAATATATTACATCATAATCAATAATTAATATTACCTTCACTAAGCTCAGTTCTGCACCTCAATTACCTTGGGGACAATGCACCTCTTAATCCTAATTAACCCTTAACACAAACTCCTTTGTAATAATTAATTAGCAATACTTTTTTATGTGGATAAATAGAACAATAGCGTCAGGGATTTCAGCTCCGGAAACCGCCGATATTTGCCTGATAAAATCCTAGCAACAAATTAAATATCAGTCGATTTAATAATTAAAATATAATTATTTTTAGAATTGTTCATTGTTAATATCAATAAAATTCTAGCATGAACGTAAGTAAAAGCGTTATAAAGTTACGAGTTCAATTGAATAGAGTACGGGTACCGGAGCGCAGCCCGGCAGACATGCCCAGGAGCGTCCGTACGGAGCTTATCACTGGACGACGGCCGGAGGTCGTCTGGCGGGGGTTGTGCGGTTACCCGCCTTATATAGTGGGAGAGCGCACGAGGTGGGGGGGGGGGGG